GTATGTAAAGAGGTGAACATATCTCTGGTAATTCTAGTAAAGGCTCTGCGAACTGCCCATAAATATTAGGGTTTGGATACAACTGCTCAAACTGTTTGTGTCTGCCTGTGTACTCAGTGTCAAACAGTGTAAATGAACTGATCGTCTTTGATTGTTGACATGTGCGTTCTATCTGTACTGTTTCGTGGTTTAATATAATCAGCAATTCTAAGGTTAATTAAGAGGAAAGAGTCAGCTAATGATGTTGTGTACCTACATCGATTGAGAACGCCGAGATACATGTTATGTATGTCAAGCTACTGCCTTACTCATAAAACAATGTAAGGTGATATAGGCTAGTTTTGAAAGGTTTAGAGTTGGTCAAACAAAGCATGAAATCAATCTGTGAAGTCTTAACTGTTAGTTCGAGTCACGCGGGTGGGTGTAAACTGTTTGGTTGGGGCCCTCGATTAGATGGAAACCAGTGGCTGGAGACAGTTGGTAACATTATTCATAGTTGTTCTCAACGGTACTGATGCATTCACATTGGTTTTGTTCTCTAGGTACATTAAATTCTCGTTATTATCCATGTAAGTATTCTTTCTCTTGTAAACTTCTATATACTATTGGCTTTTTGGATTAGTACTTTCCCTAGCTTAGCGCATGCCTTTATGAAACATAGCAATTTGGACTACACTTTTGTGCAAAGTTCCTCATTGAAAATTTAGTTCAGTTAAGAGTATATCACATATTAGCAACCTTTTTTTTCCTTCCCTCACGTTCCCCAGTGGAACATAGGGCTTCAAGCTAGAAGCTTGAAGTTTCTGTAGCAGTGTTTATTTTACAGGATGGAGTTGCTAGCCTCATTCCCAACCTTTCCTCTCTACCAGCATTATTTCTGGCTTAGCGAGGTAAAGGAGTGCGTCGGCCGGGGATCGAACCCCGGACCATGTGCATAGTTGGCGAGCGTCCTAACCGCTATACCACCGACGCACTCCATTTGCACTAACGCGCCAAAATATTATCTCAGTCAGTAGTATTAATGGTCATATGCATGTATGGGCTACTTAGATAACATTTACCCACTATATAAATTTCTGACTGCTCACAAGTGGTTTATCACACCAGGAAATACTTTATGATCTCATATTTTATAACCATGTGGTTCATTTCTTTATGCAACGTAGATCTGCAGAGGAGTATATTAATTTATCTTAATCGTTTCATGACAGCACATAAGCAGAATATAACGGAAGCATAGACTGAAATCTATTGTTCCTCGTCGCTGAATCTAGGATTATCAGATAGAAGTGAATAGAAACAAACTTTTAGTATGTAGAAAAAAGAATAGAGTAATGAATAGTAGCTTATGATTTTAAAATATCATTAGTGACGGATAGTAAACACATCTACCTGATCATGGACCATGCCACCGTGATACCACTTCTGTGTAGGGTTAAAAGTTGGATTTCATCCTAACGAAATATTTACCTCTAGTGTTTTCAAGTCATTAATGGGGAAGTGAGTCACTTTCAACTGAACACTTGCACTTAAGAGTCGTATAAACTCAAAAGGGCCCTTTTTCTTGCCAAGGATGTATCGGTCAAATCTTTACTTTTCGACCAGTTGTTTAACTTAGGCATGTATGCATCAGAAAACCCATCCAGCGGTAGTTTATCATGGATAGAACTGGCTATTTTCCAAAGTTTTGGATTTTGGGGATTCAGTTGATTTTAAGTTAGACCACTAACTGACATCATTTAGAGAACCACTGGTAAACGAGGGAGTACTGAACATGTCTCGTCCAGCGATCTAGCTTGAGGTCAGTTAATTCCCTACCAACCAACACTTGGAAATCGATCTGTCGCCTAATAGTAACTGATTAGGTGCAGATCTAGTCAAAACTTGCAATCAGTGGAGTCTACCAAGTCAGGTATGAGGATAGATATTCACAGATGACGCTGGTTAGTAGTGGTACTATATGCAGAGAGTTAGCAGAATTTATAACTCATGAGTCACTTGGTTAACTCCCAGCGGTTGAATCATCTATAGACTCGCCCTGTAATTTATAGGTTCTGAGGTCGATACCAGCTGGAGTCATGGGTGCAAAGTGCTGAAGAGTTTCAAACTAGGACTAAACAGGCGTCCGCTGGTGGTTACCTGAAGGTTAGTTATCGTATAATCTTGATGGTAGGCGTGTGGACTTATTATCATTATTACTGTATATAGAACCACAAATCGCCTGAAACCCGATTCTCTCGAGCTTGCCCTGCCACCTATAATGTAATACCCCTTGTAGTTGTCACAAGACTTACCCTTTTTTTTCTCTAACAAAATTGTGCATGAAAAGTCCGTTCCGGGTAACAGAGTTGTAACTAACTTCTAGGTAATATTTTAATTATCCCAAAAAGTAATCCCTTGTTTGCATTGTTGAACACTTCAGGATTTAAACTCTCAATTTTGATTTGTTTGCCCCATTTCGGATTAGTTGTAACCCTCTTAACTTCCGGAATATCTGGAGGACTGAGGTCACTGTTCAATCCCTCTTAAAGTTCCCCTAGCTGGTCACTAGTCTTTCTAGGGCTTCTCTGTTTAATACAGATAGTCATCTAACCACTAGGTAGGCAGAATAGGTTTTCTGTTTCTTCTACCAATTGAACCCACTTCTTCTGACTTATTAGTAATAATATGATGTACTTCATTGAGTTTCTAGGTTCTGTTAAATGCGACAGTGTTTCTTCCCATTTGTAGACATAACTGGCTTCAATAAAGTGATTTAATGAAGATTTGGAAAAGGTAATCGCTATTATAAATTTGAGGGTACGAACTTTCTAGTTTACTCCTGTGGTTCATCCACCGGTTTATTTTCCTTGCATAGATCATTTGTTAAGATGGTTATCACTTTGCAGCAAAACAGATACCTTAAGGTAAAACTTACTCTACCCTACATATATTCAGTTACATGGAACGGATTTTTCATCTACAAGATAATGAATCACAATTATTGTATAAGGCTTGATGATACTGCTGAACATATTAAAGTAGGTAGGTTGATACTCGAACTGAAGACTCATTGGCCAAAAGCCGAGTGCTTAGGCTCTCCAGCCACATCTGTTGTAGAAAATGGTAATGAAGATAGTTGGCAACCTGCAGCCCAACCACGTGATTGCTGTAGTCTCAACCGAGCTAATCAATGCAAGAAATTTGATCCTGGCTGACTGTAGAAATAACAAAATGAAAGCTGACTTTCAACGATTACTGGTAACGACAGTGAATTATCTACTGACTATTTAGGCTGACTAAGGAAATAGGTCATAAAATGGCAATGGATGATTAGGACCCAGTTATCTGGAATAAGTTTTTTCATGTACCAGGCTGAGTCGCACTTGTTGTATGAGCTGTTACTAATTCCCATTTGTTCACAAAGAAGTTGTTTGAACTCAGTTATATGTACAGATGTTCATGTACCAGGCTAAAAGCCACAGTAGTAGTTTCAGAGTTGATGATACTACCCAGTTGCCTAATGTCTCGTCGTTCGATAAAAAATGGCTGTTGTAAGTGGATCGATCTCCGAAAAGAATGGAGCTTTAATAACAGGTGAGGCACCTGGTATGTTGGTTAGAGGAGTTTAACTGGTGTAAAACCGTAGTACGGATTGTGTCGTCGAATCTCAACTTGAATGAGATATAAGTATCCAACCCTTCAACTCCAGGAGAACTGACAAAAGCTTTCTATAATCTAAAACTAAATCTAGCAGTAGGACAAGTTGGTTTGATTAGTTTTTAGATAGTGCTTGATATATTATTTTCAAGATAAACTAAAGTACTATCTAGTGTACAAAAATCCAAGTAGGTGCATCAGATCTCTATAGATTGTTGGTTATCTCAGTTTGTAAAAATAGGAGACAAATCTCCCTGTATTCCGTTTAACTAACACAATACTTAAAATATCAGTCTGTAATTACATGAAGACTCTAGTCCTTTGTTACACTACACTGGTTACTTAACTAACTACTTTCTAATCAATTATTCTTTCTCTCGTATATTTCAGTTCATTAAATCTCCTTTGAATGTTTTTCAGGAACTTTCTTTACCTTTGTATGTTGTGTATGAAGTGTGAAAATCCTCTGACTTTTTCTTGTTTATTTTCTCATAAGTGTAAACATCATTTGAGCTCTGCAATAATTGTTATTTTTTTGTTTTTCCCCTCACCATGCTATATCAAGAGGATATTAGATTCAGTACCACATAACATGCTGAAATTTCCATACTGTATCGACAGTATTGTTCGAAACAAACCCACTGTTATTATTATTATTATTCTCATTTTGTACTTTGCATATTTCTGAATTTATTCCTACTGTAAAACAAAGGACAAATTCCTGTGGTTACCTTTATTTATATTTTGAGTAAATTAGATGCAATACTGTGACAAATGCTGTATTATAAGTACTGTTTTTGGAATATTATTATTACTATATGATGAGGGGTTATGGAAGTCTAGCTATTTACTGCACTGGAATGCTCTGCTTACGAGTTATTCATTCAGCCTAAGTACCTTTTACTGATGATTTCAGGGTTATTCGGATAACTAACTCACCAAAAATGGCTTATGGACGCCATAAAGTAAGTTGTTTTCGTATGGTCTTACTACCTATATTGACTTTTAAAATAATAGTTCACATTTCACACATGCTATTTTTTCTGTAGAACAAATAGATGAATTATTGATATTTGAAAGGTGGAGATATGTGGCACATTGGCTTAAAAGCATTTGATTTCCAGTTAGTAGATCCTGGATTCGAATCCTGCTCCACCTACTTCAGCCTGAGCAACTTGGTAATATCATTAGCGCGCATACATGATAAATATAGCCCATACATAGCCTAGTACTGGGTAATTGAGTTCTATAAATAAGATAATAATCACTTGACCTTTGAAAGAAAAATAGGTGTAGACAGTAATTTTAAAAATGTGCATAAATCCTTCACCATAAGTAATTTATTATTATTTTTTATTCAGAGGACTATTGGATAATGATTAGTGTTCCAAAAGATGAATCGGATTCGAATACAAATAATACTTATTTAAAAATTTTAAAAAATATTGTTGCCATCACACGTGAAGTAGATCCCGATTCAAAGTTATCAAATGACCGGTCAGAAGAATTACGCGAGGTCAGCAACAAGTTACATGAACGTCTTATGAATGATGAAAAGCAGACAGATAGTCTAATCGCTCGGATACATTCGGTCAAACGTAAAATTAGGCAATTAAATGCCTCCATTGAAAAATACAGGTCAACTAAGGTAGGTTTAATAATTTACAAGTGTTTCAATTATTCTTGTGTTTTTTTTATATGAATCGTTTTTATGTAGTTGTGTTCTTTTAGCTGGATGGTTTACTTGCGAACATACTATTGTCCTACTAGGTAGTATTTTCAGTGCATACTTCAGTTTGAAGTGAGCTTTTGAATTTCTCCACGAGTTTATTAGTCATCTGGTGGCAACCGTGAATGGTCGCTCTTGACTGTCGTCTGTCTGTCTTCGACATAGAACTTGGCACCGATGTGCAGCATCTCAAGTCACCACACCCCATAGATGCATACCTTTTCCATCTCTTTCGCTTTTTTCGCCCACCACTGTCGTCACATCCTCTAGTCTATTTGCATTGGTATTAATTGTTTCCTTGACCTGAAGTTTGACGCTTTGTATGTGGGACTTACTTCTTATCGATTGGTAAATTTTGCCTATGTCAGTGTGTCTATTGATTGACGATTCACTGGAATACCAGGCTTCTAGAAGTTCTCTAGCACTCTTGGTGTTTCCTCTGTCTAATATTTGAACGTTGTCCCAGTCGAATTGATGTCCGTGTACAGCGATATGAGAGAGTGGATATCATGTCTTTTCACCGCCAGTTTATATTCATGGATGCGAAGACGAAGTGGGCGTCCACTTTAGCCAATGTAGTGTTTTTCGTAGTCGTTGCAATTTATTTTGTAGATGATATTGATTTTAGCCTCTTTCGCTGTTGAGTCTTTTGGTTGACACAGGTCTGGCTGAGTGAAGTGATTTTGTTGGTTTATTTGCGACATCAATTCCTGAAGGTTTGAAGAGTCTTGCAGTGATTTATGAGACGTCTTTTATATATGGTAAGATGATTTTCTTCGTGTTTTCCTTGGAGGCCTTTGCTTTGGTTGGTTGGCTTGGGGTTAGATGTCTTTTGATGAAGTTTTGTGGATATCCATTCTTTTGGAAGACGTCCGTGAGATATTTTTCTTTTAAATTTCTCCACAGGCACATTGACATAGATAAAACCCACTAATCCAGAGAGAGCAGCAACCAATCACGTTCAAGGTCAACGAAAGAAATGACTAATAAACTTGTGGAGAAATTTAAAAGCTCACTTCATCGAATTGAAGTATGCACTGAAGATGTTGCCTAGTATAGGGCAATGAAAGCTTCGCAAATAAACCATCCAGCTCAGAGAACACAACTACACTAAAATCACCCCCCCCCCCTTTGAGCTACAAATCTCCATTATATCTAATATGAATCGTCTTCTGACCTTCTTGGTTTATTTGTTTTTCTTCATAGGATGCCTACATGAAACAGATTAACTCAGAAAGTACCTCTGACAGTTCATCATTTTCATGTGAATATCAAAATTCAAATTTAACGCAAATTTGTAAGTTAATTCAACCATTTGAACGTCTACTTGGAATTCAAATACAAAAAACACATTCTGGATTATTACAATTATTGTTTCATGGTTGTTGTTCAAAATCTGCGACTACAAATACCGATATTGTTTGCTGTTGCCAGTTACGACTTGAGAAGGCCAATCGCTTTGAACTTGTCTCATGTAATCCACCTATACATGATGTGGAAAGGCTTGTTAACCATTTAAATTGGACAGAAGATATGCGAAGCTTTATCATTGTGTTAAGACAACGTTTTCGTCGTTACTTTGAACTAGCTGCTGCAGTTTCCAATAAACTGGGCACTGGTTAGCTAACATATATATATATATATATATATATATATATATATATATATATACCACAATTACTTTGTACCTACCAAGTTATAGATCTTTTATAATATTACATGTCTTTTGCATGCCTTGAATGTTAGTGTAAATTATTGGTAGTGCAAACGTACTATTCTTCAGGACTGATATTGTGCAGATATTATTATTATAGTTTCCTTTAGTTCCTAATAATAACAATAATTTACTTTATTCCAAAACAGTACTTGTGATATAGAATGGAATTCTCAGCATTTTTACTACAGTATTGCATCCAGTTAGTACATTATCAATAAATACAGTTCTGCATAGATTAAGGAAATCTCATTTCATTATGACAACAACATATTGGCATGTCGGTAGCAAAAACCAAAGTTGAACAGTGTTTGAAGGTGTTAAAAAAGTAGGTGCTATCATATTTACTGGCGTAAGCTGAAGAAAGAAACAAAGCAGCACATAACGGAAAAAAAGAGAGAGACAAAAGGAAAAGAAAGAAAGAAAATGTCGTAACTATAATTGACATGACTTGGAAAGATGAGATAAAGTTGTTCTACTGACTATTTAATGAATTATAGGTGTCACGCCTAATGCTTTCTTTATCGCACAGAACACGAGCTAAGTAGGGTATGGTTGAGTTTTTGTACTTGCTGTTGCGGGCATATAGTTTTCTATATAGGCTTCTGGTTTTGCCTGATGAGATACAAGGGGAGAGTTGTGAATGAAGAGGGTGGTGTGAGTTAGATAAAATAGATTTGGCCCATTTTTCACATGAGTCCAGAATATTAACAAGCTAGTTAAGTGGCATGTTGCTTACCCTGCTGACAACCTTTAACATCCTGCGTAATAAGGTATAGTCTTTCTTCAGCAGCACGGGAATAACTAAGGGGGAACAATAGAGAATAATAGGCAGAATGCGAGAGTTAACGAGTAAGGGTTGGGTTATACCAGAATGTCTTAACTTCTTGATGTAGAGGGTAAAACGGAATATTTTCTTAGAAATCACCAAGATATGAGACGACCAGGAAAGATCAGCAGATAGAGTGACGCCTAGGTATTTAATTTCCGACTTGGTTTCTATTTCAATGCCATCTATGTTGCACACCTCGTGAGAGCTAACCAGTTTGTTTAGAGGAATATAGGGCTTTAGCCGTTTGTGCAGATATACGCCAATAAAATAAGAATAACAACCAATTTGTTGAGCTGAAATTCTTCCATATACAGAATCAATTTCACAACCAGGAAGGCCTTTAATTACTCGTGAAGGAAAAATAGGTGCTTTCATGTTCATTATTAATAGTATTATTATTATAAAAAATTTGTATTTCCTAATGAATTGTAAACAGAAGGATGTTGTTTCAACTGACTTTTCGCTATTTGATATGTTAATTACATTATCAAAGTAATAGTCATTGGGAAATACAAAATCCCTATAATTATTATTATTACAAACAGCATATGCCCAATACCAATGCTTCTTTTCTTTCTCAAACCATTAAAGCTGAACTTGTTTTTGACATAGATAAGTTTATGGCTGTAAACAACAAGATTTCGGGTATATAATTGGGTCAACTTGCCATTTATTTAATAAAGCAAGTGATTAAGGTTGAAATATTATGAAATCAAAGTGGGTAATTATTATTTAGAAGGATGGCTAATATAATAATTTTGTATTCTATGATGAAGTCAGGTTTCGAATTGCTAATCCCCCAGTATCTGCATCGCCAAGATCAAAGACACCAACTACTGAATGTAGATGACTTCATGGTGTAATCAGTTCATGCACACTGAATTCTATCAGTCAGGTTTACGATGTGATCGACAAGCCAAATAGTAAGTGTGTTGAATAATCGAAGGCAGTCAGCTTGAAGCCCAAGATTTTGGACTTATTGGCACTCATAAGCAAGATGTATATCCACAAGATGGGAAGAACTGACGATCCCTATGAAATTCGAACCGAAGATACTAAGTGTCGCAGTAGTCATTGGACTACAAATCTTCAGCATCCCATAATTAATGTTCAACTTTTTTGACTAAACCGATAGTCATCCATCATCAATACTTGATGAACACTGTATCGTGACTTCTCACAGACTACTTCTCAGCTTTGAAGACTAACCTATCCACTTTACCTAGACTAAGTTTCCCTATGAATATTATGGTCAATATCTGACGTAACACAACAGCTCCACAAAATCTACATTTCAAATGAAAACAAAACATAAAAAGTTAGAAATATGTTAACACTGTGTTGAAAAAGTCTAATTAAAACACTACATTTGTGAATGAAAACTTTGCATTAGTCAGAGTCAACGGCTGAATTCTCAATGTGGAGATTTGCACAAAACTGCAGCAGTTCAGTTCGCTACAATTCCTATAGTACACATAAAGGTGGAGGAAGAAAGAAATGCAAAAAAAACTATAACAAATGGAAATGTACCAGGAAAGGAATAACTATGTGGAAAAGAATGAGGATTTAACGAATTTTGGAGATTCCTATGACAATTAGACTGATTTTCTGCAGTAAGGTCGCCAGCTTCAAGCCTAACCTTCCCTCTTTTTCCGGGTTTAGGACTGGCAAGGTTAGTCAGCTTCTATAATTGTTAATATTGTGGTGGTCGTAAATCTACAAATTCATCTGCATATAATCAGGCTACATTTGAAATAAAAAATTAAGTGGATTACCAGTTAGCAATTCTTATACTTAATTCTATGTAGCAGATATTAGAAAACTACAAAGATTCCATTTATTGCTCCATTCCTTGACATTCTCATTTAGGTAAAGTAATGTGTTTCTGTCGCGAAGTTAAAGACTGTCCAACAATTTCAAAAAAGCTGTAGTGAGAAGTCATGACCAATAAGATCCACCTTGTCAAGGTGAAGCGGACATTCATCGAAATCATCGGTGAGGGCAGTGTTATATATCACGAAGTTAGACAAAGTCAGAATTCACGTACGGGTCACTGAACTCCAGCCCAGGTGGATGAATAGTGAACGAGCTTGGTATTGCAACCTGAAGGTTTCCGAGTTCGATCCATAGTGGGGTCGTGGATGCGCACCGACGAGTAGTCCTATAATGGGACAAAACAACCATCCAGTGCTCCTTTTTTTATTCAATGATCTCTGCAACCAATGTTGACTCGAGACTAAACCTAACAGCTGCAATTTCAACAAGTATATAACCATGCATGTGTCCGTGATTTCACCGAAGAATGCCTCCCAGCCACGTGGGACAACCGAACTCGACTCCAGGCTGGCACACTCTGAAACCTTGCTTCGAAAGCCCATAAAAGCGGGAAGGTTGGGAGTGAGGCTAGCAACCGCCTCCCCGTAAGAAACAACACTATGGTTTGAAGCCTACTGCTCAACTCAAAACGCTAAGAATAGAAAAAACGCATTACTTACTACACTCCTTGTTTAAATAACCTCTCAGAGACTTAAGTTATTAAACTTTTACTTATATTTATGCATATATAAAATCAGTATATATTAGAAAACACATTGTTTTGTTTCATCACGAGGCGGTGATTTAAAGAAGTTAATATTCCACAGATGAAATAATAAAAATTATAGTAAGGAGAGAAAATTGGAGTATAATTAAATAATCAATAATTAAATATTGCCCCCATACACTATAATATCACTGTTTTATGACTGAATTTTCCTTAAAAACACATACAACTATTATAAACTGTGAACGACAAAAAGAAAACTTGTAAAGTAGAAATGAATTATGCAAAGCTTTGTTCCTTTTTCAGAAGAAATTTTTATGCGCAACAAAAAAAGAAAGTAAAACAAATAAACACCAGTAGAAAAAAGCAAAATAAAAACCCATAGTGATGATAAAAATCACAATTTTTACAGCCAGATATTTATTATTATTTGCGTTGTTGTTTGTTGCATAGGACAGCAGGATAGCAGCAGAGTAGAAAAGTAGTCACTGAAAGCTAAATATTAATGTACATAAATAACTTTTGTTTTCCCGTGTGTGTGTGGAATGTTACGAAATAAAAAATAGTAATAATAATAGCAATGTGAAGAAGAAACAGCAAAAATCTAAAATAATCATCAGCATTAAAATAAGTAGATCACAGAGATGAAGTTAAAGTGTGAGATCATTGACTTGCACGTCGTCATCGATGTATTCATTATTAGATGTGTCTGTGCATCATCACCCACTCACCCCCCGCCGCCTCATGTGAATTATTTAAAACAAAGTCCTGTAATATAAAAACAAATTGATAGAAATTTCTTAATAAATTCAGCGTAGATTTCAGAATTGAAAACTGTGTATATATTTGGGAATAGTATAAATAGAAAGTGTAACTATGTCGTTTTATAAGGATGGCACTTTTGTAGTCTACGATAAATGTATATGTAATGAATGGATTTCGAATCACTACGATGGTGAACAGAATGGACTCTTTATAATTTCTCGATGTTTCACTAATGAGGAAATAAGATGAATCCTTCATCAAAAGAACTATAATTCCAGAAAAAAAACAGTTCGCCATACACATTTTCTTTAACCTTGTACAAATGAATTATACGTGCAGTTTGATCATATGCTTAGGTTAATTAGCTCCGAAGATAATGCACAGAAAGAACTTGACGTCATCAGAGTTATTCGAAGCGGAAACAGATATCCAGAGGAGTTTATACAAGCAAAGACAACTTACAACAGTTGCAAATATGAATTGTTAACGGTAGAGAAAAAGGCTTTGCGTTCACAATTCAAAAGCAATGCCCTCCTACGGAGATATTATCCCAACGTCTAACCACAGAGGGAAAAAAGTGGACACTTTACTCTCGATGCCTGATCTTATCATGTAGTAACCGTCAAATGTTCACCTGGAAACTGATAGAAAATTCACCTAGTCTTAGCACTTCTTCAAGTAAATTCTGTTTCAAATTCTTTTATTACATAGGGGCGAAATGAGGCAAGCTTCTCTACGGATCCGAAAACATTTACTATCCTGGTTAAAAAACGGTGAAATTAAATTCATCGTAGACACACTACACAACACAGAATCGG